GAAAAAAAAAAAAAAAAAAAAAGCCTGAAACAGAGGATAATTTGAGCAGAGGAGTTCAAAGCTACTACAGAGGTGGGGGCTGGACAAGGACTCCGTGGTAGGAAGCTTGCCTGGCATAACCAGGCCCTGGTTAGATCCCAGTGTTAAGACAGAAAGAAAGGGGGAAAGAAAGAAAAAGGAAAGAAGGAAGAAAGAAAGAGTGGGGAGAAAGGAAATTGATAAATAAACTTGAATCTTTATTTGTTTTGTTTCTGTTTTTCCAAACAGGATTTCTCTGTATAGCCCTGGATGTCTTGGAACTCACTCTGTAAACCAGGCTGGCCTGGAATTCAAATCTGCCTGCCTCTGCTTCCGAGTGCTGGGATTAAAGGCATGCACCACCACCACCTGGCATAAACTTGAATTTTATATTGAAGTTATTTTAATGGGAATCAAGGAAAGCATCTAAAAGATCAAGTTTGAAATCCCAGCTTCCCTCATCATTTTATAAAAGATAGGGCATTTTGGCATCCCATCTACATAGGATAGGAGGTAGATAGATAGATAGAGAGAGAGAGAGAGAGAGAGAGAGAGAGAGAGAGAGAGAGATACAGATACAGATACAGATACAGATATAGATAGATATATTTTTAAGGCTTTTCGAAACAGGGTTTCTCTGTATAGCTCATGATCATCTGTAATGGGATCTGATATCCTCTTCTGATGTGTCTGAAGGCAGGGACAGTGTACTCATATAGATAACAGAAATAAATAAATCTTTAAAAAATAATTTTAAAAATTAATTTTCTAAAAAAAAATTGCCTCCTTAAATTTGATTTAGCTCATGGCTGATGGTATTTAGAATCTCTGAAGAATGTCATGTGTAGAGTCTGTGTGACAGACCAAGCATTCCTAAGAATTCTGTATACCACATTCCAAGGGGAGGTAGGCTGGATCTCCTAAGGTGTTGCTCTAAGGGTTGGCCAGCTGGGCCTGTTTAAGGCAGTGTCACTACTGGGACATTCAGGCTCATCAAACCTGCTTCATCCTTTCCCCTGCATTTTCAAAGATTAGGAGACTGGGTAGCTCAGTCAGAAAATTCCTTGGCATGAAAGCACAATGCCTGAGTTCACTCTAGCACCTAAGTAAAAAGCCAGGCATGTGATGCCCTGTAATCTCAGGCCAACCCCCAGTGACAGAGCTCTACCAAGGAGGCCATACCTCCTAATCCTTCCTAAACAGATCCACCAACTGGGAATCAAATATATGAGCCTATAGGGGCCATTCTCAGTCAAACCATCACAGGAGAGGTGGAAATGAGAAAGTCCCTGGGGCTTCTGGCCAGCTAGCCTAGCATTAATCTGTTAGATCCAGCTCCCAGTGAGAGACTTTGTCAAGAAGTTGAAGTGGATGGCTCCTGAGGATCAACACTCAAACTCTGGCTTTCAAAACTCCTTTGTGTGTGTGTGTGTGTGTGTGTGTGTGTGTGTGTGTGTGTGTGTGTAAATTAATAAAGGAAATTAAGTTTATTTATAGTTTGCCTAAACCAGGAAGAGAAAGACCTCTAGTTTCTCCCCACTTCCTCTGCAAGAAAAACTAAATAAGCCAGGAAATCTACACATGAGGGGCTCTGAGAGCCATGTGAAAGGTCTTCCTGGGAAGCAAGTTCTCCCAGTGTCAGGATTTCGGCCTTTCCCTTCCCTCAACAGGGAATTCCTGGAGAAATTTTAATTATCTGGAGTTCATTGTTTCAACAGCCTGATAGCTAGAGGGAGGGGCTCAACTGTCTCTCTTTTGACTGTCTCCTGCCACTGCTGTGACCACACTGCAGCAGGCTGGGTTACTGGGTCCCCAATTTTTGAGTGGAGTCTTGACCAGTTGTTCATCAAAAGTGGATGCTTTATCTCCGTCTAAAATTTGCTTTTCTATGGCTGATTGCCCAATCTTGGAGTCCAAGATCTCACTCAAATGTAAGGGTGAAAAGCCAGCAATCAGTCTCCAAAGACTCAAATGTGATAGGATGAAGGACTTTTTCTTTTTAATTCGGGAGGGGGCAACCTTT